CCGCCATGCCAGTTATATGATGACGCTGTACTGCACTGGTGACAGTATGTAAAAAAAAAAATAGTGAAAATAATTTTTTTAATTTTTTCATTTTCCGAAAAATTATGACAAAAAAAATACAACTTCAAAAAACTCGCCATGCCTCTTATGAAGTACGTCGGACTGTCTACTGTGCAAAAAAGGGGTCATTTGGGGGATATCTGTACTTCCTGACATTCTTGGACCTCAAGAAATTAGATTGGCTGTCAGTACTTCAGGATTGATCAATATTCAGATCTATACCATAGTTTGTGAACTCTATAACTTTCCTACAAACTGAAAAATACATCCTAATTTGGGTTATTTTCACCAAAGACATGTAGCAGAATACATCTCGGCCTAAATTTATGAAGAACAATTATTTATTTGTAAACTTTTATAACAGAAACAAAGAAAAATGTGTTTTTTCTAAATTTTTGGTCTTTTTTTGTTAATTTAGCAAAAAATAAAAACCCCAGCGGTGATTAAATACCACCAAAAGAAAGCTCTAGTTGTGTGAAGAAAATGATAAAATTTTATTTTGGGTACAGTGTTGTATGACCCGCGCAATTGTCATTCAAAGTGTGAGAGCGCTGAAACCTGAAAAATGGCCTGGGCAGGAAGGGGTAAAATTGCACGGTATTGAAATGGTTAATACTGTATAATAATATGCCACAAAGCATCCAGTGTGTGTGTGTCTATACCCCAGAGTCGTGCTGCATCCAAATTCATGAGATTTATGGATATGGGTGCAGCACCACAAAAAACCAGTGAAATGAAGCCTCAGGCCAGGGGCGGACTGACCATTTGGAAATTCTGGCACCGCCCGAGAGCCCGGGGTCAGTAGGGGGCCCCATGAGATGCCCCTGGTACCTTTTTCATAGGCTTTTTTGAGTTTAACAAACGAAGCAGATTTTAGCAGAACATGACTGATGTTCTCCTTTTTAAAAGAGGTCTGGCATTAAAATAGAAAACAAAATGGGATTTTTTTTTTATAGAACAATTCCACAGAGATGACAAGCTGAACATGTCGCTGCCAGAACATGATTGGAATCGGAGTTCTGAATTTGTTATTTCATTGTTTTCCTGTCCTATTTTAGATTTGTTTGTAAATGGCATACCAGTGTTGCAGATTATGTTCCTGCTATAGACATGGGGCTTAGAGGCGCTCCGTCCTCACAACTTGTCCTCCTTTAATTGAGGCTGGTACTGTTATATACACTGTACTGTGCTTTTCATATTTATCATATACATATGTAAGTGCTGGGACTTGTTCCTTTTATTCTGCTGAGCTCCACACCTACTATATTACTTACTCTAGACCAGCTATTCTCAACTTTTTAACCACAGGGGAATCCTTGAAATAATTTTCAGGTCCCAGGTAGCTTCTGCTAAGAGGAATTCTTCAGGGGTCATTGGGAAATTGCCCCTTACTTTGGTGGTCAGTGAGAAGAATGCCCTCCTTACAGTGGTGGTGAGAATGCCCCCTACAGACAGCTAAACAGAACATTAGGGTCCAGGGGCAGACTGACCATTTGGAAACTCAGGCACTGCCCGAGAGCCCAGGGTCAGTAGGGGGCCCCATGAGATTCCCCTGGTACATTTTTCATAGGCTTTTTTTAAATTTGGGCAAGGATACAGGGGCCCCATGATCCCCTATTGCCCAGGGGCCCCATGAGTTGTCAGTCCACCCCTGTTAGGTTCATGCTGCTGGCTTTTCCAATTTCCATTGAACCCCAAACTATGCAGGAACCATCATATGGGAGATCAATCAGCCACAGCTCAAGAAACCCTACCAACCTCTGGAGGAACCCTTGGGTTCCACAGAACCGTGTTTGAGAATGGCAGATCTAGGCCATACCTACAATAAATTACCAATCCTTCCCTAGTGATGCTATACATAGTTTTCCTTAGGCCAATTTCTGGTATTCTGAGGGTTATGACACATCAACACTGTGGAAATGTGGAATTCTAAAGCAAGAACTCTCAATTCTGTTTATTGGGCCATGTAGGCAAAAGCTGCCTAAGAAACAAAATCTACTTTTTTATTTAGAGGATTGTTGTGAGGGTTTATTTAAATTTGTTTAATTTATTTATCCCAAATCAAGGGATCGTCAAAGTCAAGGTATAATCAACACCTTCATGATTAGACCAACTTTTGAAGTTTTGGTGTGCCTTGGTATGCCCAACAAGAACTTTTTAACTGCTTTGCATACCAACATGGTTTTCACACAAAATGTTTTCACACATATGGGGCCTTATGTATATGATACAAAGAGAATCTCAAAAGGGTGCTGTCAGTTTCATCCACTCTTCTTCTTTTAATCCATTACAAAAAAAAAAAAAAGAACTATTAAAATTGACCTTGCCAATGAACATTTCACTTATTATCTGCAAGATTACTCAGGGCAATCGGAAAGCCACAATCTGATGCATATCTATCTATCTATCTATCTATCTATCTATCTATCTATCTATCTATCTATCTATCTATCTATCTATCTATCTATTATCTATCTATCTATCTATCTATCTATCTATCTATCTATCTATCTATCTATCTATCTATCTATCTATCTATCTATCTATCTATCTATCTATCTATCTATCTATCTATCTATCTATCTATCTATCTATCTATCTATCTCATCTATCTATCTATCTATCTATTATCTATTATCTATCTATTATCTATCTATCTATCTATCTATCTATCTATCTATCTATCTATCTATCTATCTATCTATCTATCTATCATCTATCTATCTATCATCTATCTATTATCTATCTATCTATCTATCTATCTATCTATTATCTATCATCTATCTATCTATCTATCTATCTATCTATCTATCTATCTATCTATCTATCATCTATCTATCTATCATCTATCTATTATCTATCTATTATCTATCATCTATCTATCTATTATCTATCATCTATCTATCTATCTATCTATCTATCTATCTATCTATCTATCATCCATCTATCTATCTATCTATCTATCTATCTATCTATCTATCTATCTATCTATCTATTATCTATCTATCTATCTATCTATCTATCTATCTATCTATCTATCTATTATCTATTATCTATCTATTATCTATCATCTATCTATCTATCTATCTATCTATTATCTACAGTTGCAAGAAAAAGTATGTGAACCCCTTGGGATTACGTGGAGTTTTGCATGAATTGGGCATAAAATGTGCTCTGAACGTCATCTAAGTCACAACAATAGAAGAACACAGTCTGCTGAACATAATACTACACAAACATTAGATGTTGCCATGGTTTAATTGCACATAACATGTAAACATTCACAGTGCAGGGAGGAAAAAGTATGTGAGTCCCTAGCTTAATGACTTCTCCCAGAGCTATCTGGAGCCAGGAGTGAGACAACCTTGACTCCAATCAGTGTGATGATATTGGATGTGTTGCTGACAGCTGTCCTGCCCTTAAAAAACACACACCTGTTTTGGGTTTACTGGTTTCAAGAAGCACTGTCTGATGTGAACCATGCCTTGCAGAAAAGAGCTCTCAGAAGACCTACGATCAAGAATTGTTGACTTGCATGAAGCTGGAAAGGGTTACAAAAGTATCTCCAAAAGCCTTGATGTTCATGTGTCCACGGTAAGACAGACTGTCTACAAATGGAGAAAGTTTCACACTGTTGCTACTCTCCCTAGGCGTGGTTGTCCTGTAAAAATGACTGCAAGAGCACAGCGCAGAATGCTGCATGAGGTAAAGAAGAATCCCAGAGTGTCAGCTAAAGACCTACAGAAATCTCTGGCACATGCTAACATTTTTGTTGACACATCTACAATAAGGAAAACATTAAACAAGAATGGAGTACATGGGAGGACACCACGGAGGAAGCCATTGCTGTCCAAAAAGAAGATTGCAGCACGTTTGAAGTTTGCAGAAGAGCACCTGGATGTTCCACAGCACTACTGGCAAATATACTGTGGACAGATGAAACCAAGATTGAGTTGTTTGGGAAGAACACACAACACTATGTGTGGAGAAAAAAAGGCACAGCACACCAACATCAAAACCTCATCCCCACTGTAAAACATGGCGGAGGGAGCATCATGGTTTGGGGCTGCTTTGCTGCCTCAGGGCCTGGAGGGATTGTTGTCATTGATGGGAAAATGAATTCCAAAGTTTATCAAGACATTTTGCAGGAAAAGGTACGACCATCTGTCCGCCAACTGAAGCTCCGCAGAGGATGGGTGATGCAACAGGACAATGACCCAAAGCATACAAGTAATTCAACAAAACAATGGCTGCAACAGCACAGAATACGCCTTCTGGAGTGGCCCAGTCAGAGTCCTGACCTCAACCTGATTGAAATGCTGTGGCATGACCTTAAGAGAGCGATTCACACCAGACATCCCAAGAATATTGCTACACTGAAACAGTTTTGTGAAGAGGAGTGGTCCAAAATGACTCCAGATCGTTGTGCAGGTCTGAGCTGCAACTACAGGAAACGTTTGGTTGAGGTTATTGCTGCCAAAGGAGGGTCAACCAGTTATTAAGTCCAAAGGTTCACATACTTTTTCCTCCCTGCACTGTGAATGTTTACATGTTATGTGCAATTAAACCATGGCAACATCTAATGTTTGTGTAGTATTATGTTCAGCAGACTGTGTTCTTCTATTGTTGTGACTTAGATGACATTCAGAGCACATTTTATGCCCAATTCATGCAAAACTCCACGTAATCCCAAGGGGTTCACATACTTTTTCTTGCAACTGTATCTGTCTATCTATCTATCTATCTATCTATCTCTGCACAGTGAACTCTGTGTACACCTGTGTACAGTATATATACTGTAAACATGCCATTATGAGAAGTGTAGAGAATTTATACATTTTTTAAAGTTTGCCCAGAAAATATCTTCTGCTTCCTCTTCTACAGACAGTATTGAATGTAATTCCTTCACACAGCATCTCTCTTGCATTTCATTCCCTCTCCTAGGACTGCACAATATTTATCAGCTGACCCTACGGAAAAAGTATGTGCTGAGAGTTGACCTGGGTGATTTTGACGGTAACAAGACTTACGCCAAGTATGACGACTTCGCTCTTTCCCCCAACGCTATCAACCCAGAGGAGGATGGGTACAGCTTGTACGTAGAGGGGTTCACTGATGGTGGGGCAGGTAAGTAAGCACCCATTCTAACATGACAAATTAATATATAGAATAAGGTTGGTCCTTCTCCTTTCCTCTCCCATAGTCTCTTCCCCTCTATCCTCCTCTCCTTCTCTTTCCCTTCAGCTCCTCACTTCTGCTATCTCCACTCTTCCCTGATGATTTTCTCCCTTTCCTCTCCACACCACTATTCTGCAAACTCCTGCCCTCCATGTGTTTGATCTCTCTTTTCCCTGTCTTGTCTTCCACCTGCTTCTCTCCTTTTCTTCCTACCCTTTGCTCTCATCTCCTCTTTCCTCACCACACTTTCTGTTTCTCCTCTCCTTTCCTCTTCCCTTACCCCGCTCCCTCCTCTCTCCTTCTCCTCTCCCATTCTCCTTCTCCTCCTCCCCTCACCTCTCCTCTACTTTCCTCCTCCCTTACCCCACTCCCTCCTGTCTCCTTCTCCCTCTCCTTTCCTCTCCTCTTACCCCACTTCCTTCTTTCTCCTTCTCCCTCTCCTCTCCTTTCCTCTTCCCCCTCCCCCCTCCTCCTCCTACTTCCCCTCCCCCTTCCCCTCTCCTTCTCCTCCTCCTTCTACCCACTAATTATGGCCCATGGAGAGAGCAGATCATTCTCTAATGATGGACAACAAGGTGATGAATGCTGAGAGCGAGGCTTGGAAGAACAATAGTTTCCCTTCTGGAATGGATGGAAAGGTGTAATATGATGGCTGTCCTGAAGACTGGGCTGGAGACTTGGAGACCTGAAAGACAGCATGTGTAATGTTCTTTGTGCATTCAGGGTTGGAGGTGCCGGACTGTCTAGGGTGGGCTCCCTGGTTTGTCTTGCTGTTGGCTGTTGATTAGCTTACTGTTAATTAGATCACTGTTAGCTGTTGAGTGCACTGTTTACCGTTTACACTGTTTAGGATAGGATGTCATCAGTCTCTTACCTAATCAGTGTGGGATGTTTATCCCAATGTGTAATATTTGTTTTATTGTTCATGTGGGGACTGTCCCTATTTCTGAAGTGTATAAAAACCTGTATTTCTGTTCAATAAAGTAGTTCCAGTTTTGTACCTAAGCTAGTGTTACCCAGTCCTGGTTGCGATGCCCAACTATAATACCTTGGTCCTGTGTCCCAGCAGCGAGGAAGCAGTCCTCTTATAGAATCACCCAATCGGGATGACAGGCAGTTCATCACACCTCCCCCTTCTTGCCTCTCTTCTTCCCTCCCTCCTCCCTTCACCTGTCCTCCACTCCTTTCTTCTCTATTCCTCTTCTTTCTCTTTCCCCTTCTCTCCTCTCCCCTTTGCTCTCTATCTCCTCTCACTTCTTTTTTCTACCCCCTTTCCTCCCTTTCTCATTTCCTTTTCCTTCCCTGTTTTCATCTCTCATTTCCTCCAATCCACTTTTATTTGGCTTCAACATATAAATAAATGGCCAGCCACACTGATTTCTGATGTTGTATTGAAGACATACTGTTCTCCTACAGGGGATTCTTTGACTTACCACAATGGAATGAAATTCTCTACATATGACAATGACCGTGATGTCTACCTGCAGAACTGTGCCTCCCTCTCAGCTGGAGGGTTCTGGTACCGAGCTTGCCATCTGGCTAACCTGAATGGGCCATACCTACGAGGAGCCCATCTGTCCTATGGCAGCGGAATCATCTGGTCTCAGTGGCGAGGTCTCTATTATTCCCTGAAGTCCACTGAGATGAAGATACGTCGTGCATGAGGACCCTCCGTTTGGTCCAAGACCTGTGATGTCTACTGCCTGTAGGACCTATGACTTCTTTTCTGTTTTATTGTCCTCCAAACACAGGCGACCACAAACCATCCCTTGAAATATTTAACCTTGACCTTTTTCCAAAAACTGTACTATTTTCTATGACTTGATACTTTGTATCTCAAGAAAGACCCTAATGATGGAACTTCATCTTGATCCCAAACCTTAGCCAGTTATATTTCTCATAGCACAAGTGGTTAGGAAACTCAAAGGCAAGTAAGGGGCTAGAGGTCTGTGATTCAGGACTGAGTGCAAGTTCTCCCCTAGCAGAAGCCATGAGAAGTTTCCCAAATGATACCATTAGCGGTTTATTTATTTGGGATGAGGAAGAGCAAATTGATCTGTCCTACAGATCCATTTGATACAGGCCAAATTTTGGTTTGAATGGATCGATTCACTCATCTCCAATGGACATTGGTCATGCCAAGTTTCTTCAACGCAGTATTTCACTGTTGTCAGTACCATCTTTGGAGTCTTCCATATTAAAATATTTTTGGTCAGTAATAATCACTCAGACATCCCTTGCTATAATAATGTTAGTCTATGTCTTGAACATTCTTGCTAATGTTTATGGTGCTACCCAGATCCACTTGTTGGGAAGAACTGGCTATTATTCTTGAATATAGGACTGAGATGAAGTTTCATTGGACAGTATTCTGTGTCTATTGTTTGTTTAGTAATCCCCCTCTGCATGCCTTCATCCCTACTGTCCTCAGTGTCCAGTAGTTATCACCGCCATATAAAAGTATTTTCTCCCAAAATTTGTATTTAAAAATTCATACAGGTACAAAAAAGATTTGCACAGCATTACCTTCACAATAAAAGGGAAATAAATCCTGTTTATACATAAGATTGAGATTTTTTTTATTTTATTTAAAAGTGAACCCAAGCTTAGCCCTTGTAAGACAAAGCAACCAATTCACTTTAAGCGCCCTTTCCCCCGGTAACACATACTGCCCCATCGATCTGTTCAGACTTCAGGGGTGAAGAGAAGCCACCTTGTGTAAAATCCGAGTCCAAATGGTGGGTTTGAACCTATAGAATAAAAAATTATAATAAAATGTGTCCTCGAGATAAAAAAAACAAGATAATGTTTTGTATGGATAAGGGAGGTGTTGGTATACATATACGTAGGATGAAGAAAAACATAAAAACTAAACTAAAGTTCAACCTCAATCTCCAAGTGTTATTGTGGATCCTTGAAGAGGGTAAGAACCCCAATGAATCACTCAACACACACAAATGGCAAAATAGAAGATCTTTATTGGAAACCTATACTATACAAAAGTCAACTGTCCCAAAATGAAATAAAACCATAATTGGCCAATAATTAAAAAACCTTCCCCATAGCAGATGCGGGGAAAAATGTAAAGCATCACCTCCCAATGAAGGGCACGTACATAAAAATGACCCACATATTCATAAATATAATTCTATGAGATATGAAACTATATCATATAAAAGGGCCTCCTCCTCCATGGGGATATCTTAGAGTCCATCCATTCAGTGACTAGACACACATTCCAAGTCCTTGTTGGACGTTAAGCAAGATGTTGAATCCTCCCATTTGTAGCATATTGTGCCAATGATTGTTATATAAAATGATCCCAACTATGTGGTTTCATGGCCAAACAAGGGAGCCACCAGTCTGCTAAGATTGCCGGAAGACTCCAAAAGCAATTGGACTGTCTTTCCATCTTATTATAGATTTGTCATGCTGATAATAGACTCCTTTTGTAAGAAGACTTACAACCATGCAAATTGATTTGCCAGTCCATGGAGTCACCAGCTAGCTTGGGGTGCCGGAAAACTCCACAGGCAATTAGGTATCATAGAAGGAATCATCCAATATGTCAGGTAGAACTACTGAATAACTGAAAAAGGGTGAGTGAGCGCAAATCACAAGACAGCAGCTAGCACACAAGGCAATCCTCAACACCAAAAAAACAAAATATACAAATGGTATGCAGCGCTAAATAGTATATCAACCATCAATGTATAGATGGATGAGACAATAAATTAACAGTCAAAATATGAATAATTCCATGTAGATAAAGATATAAATATATAAATGTTCAAATCCAATCCGACTTGTGGATAAATCCAGTAAATGATTGCGCTTACCACAAAAACATACAAACAGAGCGTTGTATGTATAAGATGGACATCAGGGCCTGGTCAGCAACTAGAACAGCATCCGGTCACCATATGAGACTTCCAGGAATGGTGGAAACCCCCCACGGTCATCTCCGGTTTCACCAGCAGGTCCAACGAAGTCCTCTCCACGCACTGCTCATCTGGATCACACCACCTTGGTAGCGCTCATGAATAATGAGCCAGAGCAAAATGGGCAATGATAGTGAAGTATGTTTTAATGGGTGAACAGTAAAATATATAGTAAAGAACTCACATAATCGGGAAAAAACACAGCCCAGGTCAAACGAAAAGGTTCCCTGGTGATCTGTGGTTCCCTGGTAATCTAAATCTAAGATTACCAGGGAACCACAGATCACCAGGGAACCTTTACGTTTGACCTGGGCTGTGTTTTTTCCGATTATGTGAGTTCTTTACCATATATTTTACTGTTCACCCATTAAAACATACTTCACTATCATTGCCCATTTTGCTCTGGCTCATTATTCATGAGCGCTACCAAGGTGGTGTGATCCAGATGAGCAGTGCGTGGAGAGGACTTCGTTGGACCTGCTGGTGAAACCGGAGATGACCGTGGGGGGTTTCCACCATTCCTGGGAGTCTCATATGGTGACCGGATGCTGTTCTAGTTGCTGACCAGGCCCTGATGTCCATCTTATACATACAACGCTCTGTTTGTATGTTTTTGTGGTAAGCGCAATCATTTACTGGATTTATCCACAAGTCAGATTGGATTTGAACATTTATATATTTATATCTTTATCTACATAGAACTACTGAATGTGTAATATGGAAACCACTGACACAGTGAGGAAAGTTCCAACTAATAAGTGTTCAGTAATGGAACAAAGGGATACTTAGCCATCCAGTAGGGTCTCAGGGCATCGAGGCTGTGCTCCATAATGGTAGTGCTTCATAGGTGTATCAGAAAGCACCCCATGATCTCATCTTACATTGAGGAGGTAGAAAGAAGGAGGCATCCCAACACATTGCACAATGGCCTTGAAACCTGACCGGTTTTGTTTGTCCCACTGCCAAGTCTTTACTTCTGTCTGTGTCTCTGTAAGGGAGCTTCATCTGAATTCCCGTCCCTTAGCTCCCTGGACAGAAATTGGTGGAATATTCCAATATGTAAGTAATTGCAGTGGCAGGAATGACAGAGTCCAGTTGCCGGTAACCCAAGCTTTTATTGAAAAGAATGCTCAACTTACAAACAACCCAATGGGAGAACGTTGGGAAGCACTCACAGTTCTGTGCAATTCAGAAATGCAGCAGGGAAGATGCACTGACAGTGTCTGTTTTAGAAGGCAGGTCAGCCTGGTGCCAATAGGGAGGTTTCCAATGAAGGAAGGTGTGTCCCTAGCCTGTCCACACTCATCCGGAACCTCTACCTGCCGCTAATCACTTTCCCTTAAAGCTGTGCTCTTTCCCTACTCTATCTACTTCGCAAATGCACGCCAAAGCCTGGGGGGCAGGCACTTGAAAAGATTCTGCTGAGCCAAGATGGCCACTAGGGGTCACCTGTAAGCAGTGTAGCCAATGGAAATGCTGCCTCAGGGGACCAGGAGACCATAGAGAAACTAGATTTCTCTTGACTTCCTCTCTGGCTACAGACCTGCTCTGGTCGAGCGCCACCTACAGTGGAGAAAGCAGACTGCACTTGCCTACAAACCTGGTCACAGACAGCAAGAAAAATACGTTTTTTTTGGTAGAGATGAGAAATGCAGTGCCAGGACAAGGTAATCTAGGGAAGATGCCAATGCCAAACTGCACCCCCTCTTCTGGTTTATTATGCAGTCAGTGTGTGCCTGGATCATGTTCTGCAGCTGGGATCTTGCTCCATGTTCTGACCATGCTTGTCTCGTCATCACTACACAGTTCTGGGTGTTCCAGTCGGGTTTCACATGGACCCAGAAGTGCTCAGTGACATTATAGAACCTTCCTGCTGTGTGTTCTCTGCCTCTCCTGGTCTCCATGTGCTGATTGTAAATAGCTCAAGATTGGCCAAAGACAAAAGAAAAGGTAGGCACCTGCATATGATACGGCTGGTGTCACTTGGCACCCCCCACCCCCCCCCCCCCCCCCCAACATTAATCACTTGAGTTCCAGAAAGTTTTGCCCCCTTTATGACCAGGGCGGGTTTTTTGCTATTCAGCACTGCGCTACTTTAACTGGCAATTGTGTGGTTATGCAACACTGAACCCAAATTAAATATATATAATTTTTTCCACAAAAATAGATCTTTCTTTAATGGTATTTGATTACTACTGAGCTTTTTATTTTATAAACAAAAAAAAATCAAACATTTTGAAAAAAACCCTATATTTTCTACTTTCTAATATAAAACATATCAAATAAAAAAAAATGTAAAAAATCAAATTTCTTCAAAAATTTTGCCCAAATGTATTCTATTACATGTCTTTAGTAAAAAAAAAAATCCCAGGAAGTGTATATTAGCTGATTTGTGCGAACGTTATAGCGTCTACAAACTATGGTATATATACTGGAATTTATGCAGCTAGGACGCTATACTGGTAATGGTGGTGATCAGCAATTTAGAGTGGGACTGTGATAGTGTGGTGGGCAATCTGGTGCTAGCTGATGCTGGCTGGGAGGTAACTGACTAATAGGGGGTGGAGAAGGAAGAGCTGAAATTACACACTGCAGAGCTCACTGAGGAGAACTCTGAGAGCTGATTGCAGGGAAGAGACACACCCCGCCCTCCACACAGCTCACAGGAACAGAGCTGAATCTGTTAATCTGCTGGAGCTCCTCCCCTGTCACCATTTTTCTTT